AGTGCCAGACAGGGGAACCTCCCTTCAAATTGTTGGTCAGGGGACTCCAGGAGACTCCTACAACAATATGGGCTGTCACCATTGCCCTTGATTGCCACCCAGAACTTGAAGGTAAGACCTGGTTGCTGGAGTCCATGCACGTCAGACACAGGATTTGAAGGAACTGAGTTGGAACTGACTTGCAAGCCTCTTTCTCCCCTAAAGACTAGCTCTCATACTATCAGAAGGTGCTATAGAAGCTGCCAAGGGAGAAAAGCAGCCAACAGTCCTCCCACCCAGCTGTAAAGCTCAGACCACAACAATGGCCAGCCCAGCAAGATGGCCCCAAGGGTATAATGGAACTTTTATCTTGGGGGTAACCAACAGCTGTCTAATTGGACTTAAGGCCTACTCAAAAGAAAGGAATTCGGGGCTGGTACTGTAAACTTAGCCATCTACCCATGGTTAGAGAGGTCACAGGCCCTAGACAGAGAACCCACCACTATCACGTTCCTAGACCAATGTCATTCCTAACTATTCTAAATATCTGTCCGTATCCCCACAGGTAAGTGTAGCCCTCACCCTCACCCAAGGAGCTTCTTTAGAGCAAACAGCGTACTTCCTGACCTCCTTCAGCTTTTGACTAGACTACTCTTGTGGCGGAGGGCCGCCCAGTCACCCTAATACTGCAGAGCCATTCTGCATCTCCTGCTTCTTCCCTGTCAGCCTTTTCAAAAACAGTCTGTGCAGTTTACTTACCTTGTTTGGATTCTACCTCAATATAAAATGTAACATCCTGGAGAGGCAGTGACTTCCAGCACTGCTATTCAGGCACCTAGAACAATACCTTACATACAGTCAGCACACACTTAGTGACAGAATAAAAAAACCACATGCATTAGTGAGGGTGAAGGCCATGTGTGTTCTTATTTGCCATTCTATATCTCCAGCAGGCTGCCTGGCACACTGCTCAGCAAACACCTGCTGAACCAAATGGGTAAAAGGGAGAAATTTATATGTTAAGATTTAGTAAGTAATAGAGGTGCAAGTATAAAGACTTATCATTTCTACTCAATCCTCAGCCCAGCATAACTGCATTATCACTTGCTGCTGACAGTGAAATCTTGAGTTACTTCTTTTGGAAAAGGATCTCAGTTTGTAGCCCTGGAGGGCCTGGAACTCCTTATGTAGACGAGGTTGGCCTCTAACTCACAGTGACTCACCTGCCTCGGCTTCCCAAGCACTAGGATTAAAGGCACCTCCCCCCTCCTTTTTTTTGAGACAGGGTGTCATCTAGTCCAGGTAAGAAAGAGCTTTAATTCAAGGCCAGCCTAAATTGGAAACAAAGCAAGACTCTGTCTTAAAATAAAAATAAAAGGCGAGGCATGTAGCTCGGTGGCAGGGTGCTTGCCTACCACACGAATAAAGCCTTGAGGTAAATTTTTAGTACCACAGATAAAAGAGAACTTGACCTAGAAAGTGCTTTACAGCCCTGGGGATGTCCAGTGGGAGATCATTTGCCTAGCATGCACAAGACCCTCGCTTCAATCCCTAGGGCTGCATAAACATAAATAAATAAACAGATATGGCCACCAAAGCTTCAGCTCTGAAAGCAGAAGGAATGCTGAATCATGCTGCTTCTACAAGACAAACGCTAACACGGCCCCCTTTCACAGGTCAAACTCTTGGATGATGAGTTTCTAACCTTTTTTCGAGTCTGCTAATGCTTCTGACCTGAGGTTGGTCAGAGAGCTTAACTATCACTAGTAAACAGAAGTCCCGCTACATAAACCTGTCATCATATAACAGCTCATCATATGGACACACACATGTAATCATGATCCCCTAAACACAGGCACTAACTACATAAACGCCTTGTGTCCTTTCAGTACAAGCCTCATACTTCAAATTAGACAACAAACATTACCTGAAGGTCTACTATGTACTAGTTATGGAACAAATATTTGAGGGATCCTACATATGGGGGGGGGGGATGTCAGCCTTGTACAGAGGTAAATTACAATAAAACCCAATGAGTGCTACTCTGATGTTGTTTGGTGGAAGAGTGTCTCCATGGGGACAGGGCAGGGAGCTTGGGAAAGACTCCAGTGACTTGAGCTAGATTTCAGGGATGAATGGAATTCTACCATCTGGGAGGAACCAGATGGGACCTCAGACTGATATTTTAGTGGAAGCCCAAGAGCCATGACACAACAGAGAAGCCAGCGTCGACTACCACACAAAAAGCCAGGAAGATCCACAGAGCATGGTTGTAATTTCCAGCTGGCGCTGTGTACACAATGACCTCACTGTGTTTATGATAGTAAGTAAAAAGTAAAAAGAACCTAGCACAAATCACACCTATATGTGTAAGTACCTACTGCTACTGCTATGGCTATGGCTATGTTATTACTGTCGCTATTATTAGTCATGTGCCTTTTGGTCTTGTTCACCATTTGTGTTTAGGAAAATAAACATGCATTGAATGATTAAAGGATTAGCAGCTTCTCAAAGGAAAAAAGCAAAGCAGATACGCTTTTCATACTGTGAAGCCAGCAGTCTAAAAGGGAGGCTTTCTATGGGACTGCTTTAGTCACCTTAAGGTCATTGCTCTTTCCCTGAGTCCCACCCCTACCCCTATCCAAATCTAGGTTGGTTAGGGTAGATCCCTGAAGTAAAAATAACCATCACAGTGCCAGGTGCAGTGGTTCACGCCTTTAATCCCAGCACTTGGGAGACAGAGGCAGGTGGATCTCTGTGAGTTGAGGTCAGCCTGGTCTACACAGCGAGTTCCAGGCCAGCCAAGGCTACCTAGTGAGACCCTGTATCAAAAAATATAAACAAATAAAAAACCAAAAAATTAACAACAAAAACCTGTCTTCAGATGGAAGGATGGTAAAAACAAAACAAAACAAAAAGACCTGTCTTTAGTTTCTCCATCCAGCAAGCAAGCACCTATATAGATTTTCTTATAGCTATAAACAATTGGTTTGTGAGTAGACATTTTCACACATGAATTCTTCTTAATTGTTTAAGTGCTTTCTGAAACACTATGATTTAACTTTCACTTTTCTTACAATTGATTCTTTAAAAGGGAGTTTTAGTTACACAGAGAACATTTTCTGAATTGCTGATGTGCCTGTAAGTTGGACAAATGATAAGAAAATAAGATTTCTTTGTTTTGTTTTGTTTTGTTTTTGTTTTTTGAGACAGGATTTCTCTGTGTCGCTTTGGAGCTTATCCTGGCACTGGCTCTGGAGACCAGGCTGGCCTCAAACTCCCAGAGATCCGCCTGCCTCTACCTCCCGAGTGCTGGGATTAAAGGCGTGAGTCACCAATGCCAGGCTCAAAAATAAGATTTCCATATCTCAAAAATGACTTCTTGGCCGGGCATTGGTGGCTCACGCCTTTAATCCTAGCACTCTGGAGGCAGAGGCAGGCCGGTCTCTGGGAGTTCGAGGCCAGCCTGGTCTCCAGAGCCAGTGCCAGGATAGGTTCCAAAGCTACACAGAGAAACCCTGTCTCGAAAAAACAAAAACAAAAAAACAAAACAAAAAAAGACATCTTTACAAAGTGTAAAATAAACAAGCAAACTCATTTTGGGAGTGAAAAAGATATATATTTTAGTGAGTTAATTTAGATCACCAAAATATAACTGATCATTCCATTTAAAAAGGAACCAAAAGCACAGACTTTTCAAGCTTGGAGAACTTCAACTCCAATAGAGACACAAGATTCAAAGAGATTCGGGTTGGGAAAATGCTCAGTGGTTAAGAGCACAAGCTGCTCTTCCAGAGGACCCAGGTTGGATTTCCAGAACCCACAGGGTGGCTTACAACTGTCTGTAGCTTCAGGTCCTGGAGGATATGACTCCCCATCCTGGCCACTTCGGGGAACTGCTTGCACATGACACACACACACACACACACACACACACACACACACACACGGAGACAAAATATCCATACACGTAAAATTAAACTTGAAAAGCAAAACAAAACCCCAAATCAAAGTCAAAGTGATCTACACAAATCAAAGCCAAGATACTTGGTAACGGAAAAGCTGTAAGAACACAATTCTTCAGATTCTCTGTTCAGGAATGTAGTTCATCATTAACCAATTGGAAGGGTTTTGGCAATAGAGGTTTGAGAGATGGTACTCTTTACATTTAACCACACCACTTTGAAATGTGAGGTGTCTAATGTTTCATACACTTCTCCAAAAGTATATGCAATCTGATCCTACATATGGGAGGCTTAAATACACTTATGGATGAACAATGTTCAACTGAGCTATTTCACTTAGGGACTCGTACTCAAAATCTCACTTGTAAGTAGTCTGTTCAAAATCTGGAATCCCTTCCCTTGCTGAAGGGACTCCTACCAACTAGATAAAGATGAAATATTATCCAGGCTGTCCTGGAACTAGCTCTTGTAGACCAGGCTGGTCTCGAACTCACAGAGATCCACCTCCCTCTGCCTCCCGAGTGCTGGGATTAAAGGCGCACGCCACCACCTCCCGGCTTGGAATCAGAATTTAACATGTTTAGGAAGGAGGACCAGTTAATGAAAATCACCAAGTGTCTCCTCTATCCCCTTACACTCCAGAGACAAACCCAATCTTTCTCAGCTGCCTCCCATAATCAGGTTCCCAGTTTGAGGCATTCACCAGTGGTGCATACATATCGCTAGAAAAGTTTCCCAAACATCTGCTCTAAGAACAATTTTGTGAATTCTGGGTCGATTCCTTAAATTCCCAAGTCCAGTCTGCCAGGGTACCTGTGCACGGAGAATCTACAATTTGAGGTTTGGTGCCTTTAGCTTCAGGTGAATGTGAATTTCCCCACTAACCCGTCTCCTAAGTGAATTAAGCATCTTCTCTACTGTTGGCCTCAGTTTGATGCAAAGAAGGGCTACCATTGAGAGGGGCTTAATGCGGAGAGCCG